CAGAAGTTGGTCCTCGGACAAAATACCGGTGAGGATAATCATTCATTCAGTATTTACTACGCATGTAGCACTCAGCTCAGAGATTTAATTTCAAACAGTCCTATGAATATAATCCGCTGGGCAGTTGTATAGGTGAGACTCAGAGAAACTTAGGAATCTGCCCATTGCAAATGGCATACATTTTGAACAGGATTTAGGCCCGTGTCATGAGGTGCCAAGCCGTGGATAGTTTTAGAGGATGATAATAAAGGTCCGAAGGCCACGGTGAGTATAATAAAACAACAGGTGTAGATCAGAATGAAAAGCAAGTCCCAGGGCCCTCAGTCTGTGTCTAAATACTCTTCAGCTTGATTTAAAAAAAAAAATGCAGGCATTATGGTACTATGAAAGGGGAAGAAAAGAATAGTCAGCAAAGGGCATAGGAATGTGGACACTCCAATACTGGAAAGGTAACGAACATGCGGCAGAGAGGGCGGCAAGTTGAACAACTTGCACTTGTACCAGGAGGATGGCTCGGTAGGGGGTAGGTGTGACAAGCCTGATGATCTGCTAGGTCACTTCTGTTGGATATTTCTGCTATTTTCTATTAACTATTCATTATTGGAATTGGTGAAATCAAGCACAAAATGGGTTACAAAATGTTTCCAGGATCACAGTTAAAGAACTGTCGGCTTGGGGTAGAGTTCAGTGGCCAACTGCACTTAGCATGTGTGAAGCCCTGGGTGCAATCTACAGCACCAAAACCAACAAGCAAAGAGCACCTCACAGAGGACAACTATCAAATGCCTTTCAAAAATATTTTATACAATTGTTTCCTTTGATTTCTCAATTGGAAAAATTCCTCTTTCCCTTGGTTTTTCTGATACTTGTTCATGGCGGTACTGTTTCATATCAGGGAGGAAGCCTGGTCTTTTGGTATCAATTCCATCTGCTCCAAAGATCTTTCTGTATTTTCTTTTTCCAAATCTAAACAGGTACCTCATCTCTCTCTCTCTCTCTCTCTCTCTCTCTCTCTCTCTCTCTCTCACACACACACACACACACACACAGAGGACTCTCTAGCTCTTTAAGAGCCTGCTTGTGCAAGGATGACGAATACCTTTGAAACCACACCTCCACCCTTGTTCCCCGGCCAGCTCAATTCCATCACCAACACCCTGCTTATTAATGAGTCCACAGGCCTGGCCACCAGCTCCTCCTCAAAATATTGAGCTCCCCTCAAAAATATTCTGCCTATGGATATTCTGTTTGTTCAATCTGCGGCTCTCGTGGCAAGTCACCTTCAACCTTTTACGAAAATCACAAGCTCAGCAGATCACTTGCTTCAATGCCAGTGGGGACCAACAAGCTGTTTCTATTTGCAGCCTACAACTACAGTGGCTGTGTGACACGAGGCCAATCCCTCCCCTGTCCAAGCTCCAGTAAGCATGTGTTAGACACAAAGAACTTCAGGGTTCTTCCGGCTCCAACAGTAGATGGTGTTCTCATTCCTGAAAGTTCATCTCAGTAAGAAAATACTCTACTGGCTGGATGCGTCCTGCCAAAGGCCCACCCTTTCTTTGCTGTCTTCCTGTTCGTTTTCTCCCAGAGACTGTTTCTACGATGCCTGAGGGCCCTCTTGCTGGGTTGATGACTCTCCCACCACCTCCCAGGGTCTGTTGTTCTCCGCTACGTTTGCCCAACAATTTGAACTTTCTCCCTGGTGTTTAAGAGCCCTGTGGTCTGCGAGCAGAAGCAGAATCTCCGTCTTAATCAATGCACAAACTGGCTCCTGCTGGGCTTGTGCGTTTCCAAATGCATTGTTTAGAACCAGCAGCTTCTCTGAAACGCTCAGGTAAAGTGCCAGGAAAATATTTATCTGCCTATTGGAGCTTCTGAAGAACTCTGTGGGCCAGACTCTGCCCCGCCCTGCTCAAGCTCTGCCCTCAGGCCCATGACTCACTCACCAAGCAGCAGGGATCTGCAGTCACCCCCACCCTCACCACTCTGAAAAACAGTTTACAGCACACACCAACCTAGATCCTTTCCTCCACAAACTCCTGTGCACGGGCCACCCAGAAAGAATCAACATCCTCATTCGCTCATCTTCATTCCTGGAATTTTCTTTGTGCCTGTAGCCTCCTTGTATTTTGCAATATTCCCTGGGCATCGCAGACTGAATGGGTATTCTTGCAAGGAAGCGGCTAGGGAAATTTCCACTCCATGACTGTCACTGAAAACGGGAGGGTTGGAAAGAGCGGAGCAAAGACTGTTAAGCTTGGAGAATGTTGTAAATCTAAACAAGTAGCTCATTTGAATCAAGACTGAGTCCGGCATCCCTCTCTCTTTATCTCGCTGACTTGTAACCTTTGGCCCTTCCACACACTTAATTTCAGATTGAGAAGATTACAGTAAACTACAGGTTTGGAGTGCTATGCTCCTGTAGCTCCTGAGTCATGCGTACAGCAGATACGACTCTAGGGTCACTAGTCTGTTAATTAGTCATAAAGCCAAGTCACCACCACAAAAGATATTTACCTAGCAGTCTCCAAACCCAAGTACAAACATGCCCAAGTCTCCGCAATACGCTTGGGGAGCTAGGTGGGTGAGGAGTGCTTGTGTCTATAAAGGATAACTGCAGCAAAATAGTGGGCTTCTTGTTTGAGTCCACGAAGATAAAGAATTTATAATAAAGGCACTGTTGCCAAATACTTAAAAAGCACAGAGACTACTATAGACAGATCAATATGGAATCTAAAAAGAAAGTTCATCCAGGGAGTATATATAGTAAGTGCAGTGTGGCTGAATGTTGGAGCACTTGCCTAGCATGCCTAGGGGCCTAGGTCTGGTCCTCAACACTAACAGAAAACAAAACTTATTCCTCATAGGCTGATCTTATCAAAATCGCTATAACTGGCCAAGATAGCAAGTAGCACACAAAGTCTTAAGATCATAATTAACCTGACATAAAGGTGAGTGGTGAAAATAACCTTTAATGAATAGCTTTCTGAGCTTTGTGAGTACAGAAGCGTGGCCTGTAGGTTCAGTACGGCCAAAGGCAGAAGGGAAATCAATCCTCAGATATTCGTAAGGTTTTAAGATTCCCTCACATTAGCGTTCGTAAGTGTCTATAAATAGGATTATTGTTGAGAGCTCCTGAACACACTACCCAGTGAACTGTGTTACTTTAAAAAGCATCATGATACTATATATTCATACATGTTTCAAATGCAATTCTGTCCCCCAAAATGGTGGCTAGCTGCTGGTTTTACACTCTCATAAGTAACTGTTTCTAAGCCAATCGCGCCAGTCGGAATTAAAGAAAACATTGAATTTGGAAATCAGAAGGAAGACACAATCAAAGGATCTATGTTCAATGTCCCCAAGCTGAAAGTACAGAAAATTTCATTATATCAGCTGAGGAGAGATCACTCATGTGTAAGTTTTTCTTTCCTTTCTAACCAAGGACCTAAACAAAGAGAGAAGTCAAACGTCTTTTCATTGCCCAGATTAAAGGGGAGGAACCCAATTAAGTGAATACATATGAAGAACCTAATGAAGAATTTTGATTCAAAAGGATCATAAAGACTTGATACTTTAAGCAAAGAAGCCATATGCACTTTAAAAATATATTTGCATATGTATCCATCAAAAATTGGCATTTTGCCTCTGTCAGCAAATAATGGAGAATTTACCTAAAACACATAAGTTCAGCTATGACTTTCCTGCCACATGGCCAGTATCCTAAGGCTGATTTGCATAAATAATTTGGGTCATAGTATAGCTACTACTATAGTGGGTTATTAGTTTATTAGTGATGAGTAATTAGTTTAATGAGTTATTAGTTTATATATTAATATACACATATGCATATTGTATATTAATATTTTTAAAAACATGGTTCTATAAAAGTATCAAACTTCTCTAAAGACATCCCTAATTTAGATAATTTTAGCAGTCCTTCTGAGACAGATAAAATCTTAATCCCTATTTTAATTATTAAAAAGATAGCTTTTTAGATAAATTAAACAAGCTAACTTTTACATTTTAGAATGGTCTGCAAAGATAAGTTTGTTATCAAAAATGATACCATTATGTCACATCATCATTAGCTGGGCATAGAACAAATTTTGTAATATTAGTCTTATCTTTGGATAAAACTGCAATGCAAGTCTAGTTTTGAGTCCTTCTAACCATAAAATAAAGTAGTAGAATGTGCAACGGGGACTATCGTGATCCAGTTTGAAAGATGACACAAAAGATATTATATTATTGCTATATCAGGGTTCTGCATGAGAAAAAATTAAGTAAAATTCTTCAACTGAGAGAGTCAATCTTAAAGACAAAGGAGGCAGTGCTGGATAGAGTTTTGGAGTTTGCTTGGTCTGATCCTGCATTTTATGTTTTTTTTTTTCTTGTCTTTTTGAGACAGGGTCTTGCTATGCCTCTCAGGCTGGCCTTGAGCTCACTTTGTAGCCCCAGGCAGGTCTCGAACTCCAATAATCCTCCTGCCTCAGCCTCCTGAGTGCTGGGATTACAGGCATGCGCCACCACACCCAGCCTCGGCATTTTACATTTAATGGGATAGAGACAGGGCCAGTTTGAGTGGACACTGAGGTAACTGGAGCTTAGGCCTACTGACTTGGACTCTAGAAGTCTTTCCATTACACCATGCTGCCTTTCACAAAGAAGATACAGCAGCTCAGAAGACACCTTCACAATAATTCAAGTCAGAAGAGGAAGTCACGAATGGTCTGAGCAGGACTCGTTAAATCCACCCAAACTGCCTTATGGTACAGTAGAAAAGGTTTGAATGGGGTTACATTATCCATTTATTCCTTCTACAACCTTTGCAGTCATAGAAAATACAACTACTGCCCAGACTCTCCGTGTTACAAAGCTGGAGTGAGCCGATGCCATACGCTGTGTACTGTCTTAGTCTCTCATGACACCCTGAAGTCAACATGCTGGAACCCCACAGTTCTGAAACCTAGTCAGTACTGAAGAATCTGAGAAGAATACACTTGGAGAAGTGCCAAGTTTATTAGAGTGAGAGACGGTCACCCTCACACGGCCACCAAGAGACAGAGATCTCAGAGATGCATGCACTGAGCTTACACCAAGAATTGTGTAGCATCTCTAGGGTTGTAAGATACCTGACTGGTCATCGGGACGACCTTATCATCTGATGTCTTCATCCCCCTTAAACATCTCCCTCCAGTGGACTGAGGTCAGATTCTGTTGAACATACGGCTATGACTAAACTTTGGCCAGCTGTGAATCTGTACTCTGGAAGCAGAGGACGTTTACTTTTCCTATGAAAAAGAAAGGATCCCAGAATCCAGTGTGAAGACCCTCAATACTCCCCCACCAAGCCCAAAGCACCCCAAAAGAGGCCAAGGACGACTGTCTGGGCCAGCTGGGCTTTGTCCTTGGGCTTTCCGAAGACCTAGTTCTTGGTCCAGAGAAGACCTCTGCAGCGAGGTTCTGGGGCCCGCTGTCTCCAGAAGCAGCTTTTTGTACGCAGCTGGTTTGTCAGGAGGGTCCCAGGAGAGCAGCTAGGCTTGCTGCTCCACCAGCTGCAGCCTGGCAGTCTTGACTCGATGGGCTTCCTTGAGGTTCCGTTTACGGGCCTCTGGGTTGGAAATGAACTCCACTTGTTGCAGGGGGAACCAGCCCCGTTCCCCATCCGAGAGTCTTACGCCCTCCAGCCAGCCTATGGGTAGAGTGAGTGAAAGAAGCATCACCGGGGAAAGGCTCATGGTAAGCTCCCTAGACCCTCTTCCTGGAAGTATTTCCACATCTAAGGCTGGGAACTAGGGAACCCAGGGAGAGAAGCCCAGCACCCCCATTATTAAGTATGGCTACCTTGGACCTAGCAAAGCCTACGGCTGCCCCTTCCGGAGCCTGGTCCACTGTTATGAGTTCAACTGTATCCCGTCCAATATGTGTGGGTGCCCTATTCTCCGGTACCTCAAAATGGAACTTTATTTGGGAAAGAGGATATCACAGATGTAACTTAAAAAGTTAAATTGAGGTCATATTGGAGTGAAGCAGCCATAAATCCAATACTGAGCCAGTGATAACTAGTGTCCTTATAAAAAGAGGGAAATGTGGATAGGGACAGAGGCAGACCGTCCACAGGAAGAAATGGACAGAGATTGGGCTTATGTTGCAACAGACCAAGGAACCCTTGGGGCAACTAGACTGGAAAAGGTAAGGAAACGTCCTCGTTAGAGGCTTCAGGGAAGCTTGGCCTTGCCAGCACCTTGATTTTGGACTTCTTGCCTCCAGAGCTGCGAGAGAATAAATGTCTGTCATAAGCCACCCGGTTTGTGGTACGATGTTAACAGCACCGTGGGAAACCAGCGTGTGCCTTCATTCCTGCCTGCGCTGCTGGTCTCGAGGGGTTCCCCTCTTACCGTCGCTGCTCTGCTGAGTCACCATGACCACATCGGCCTTCTCCAGAGCCAGCTCGTCGTTCTCTCGGGGCATGTATGCGCGAAGGCACTGCACTTGTGGGGAGTCTTTGGAAGACAAGAGTGAAGAGAGGTTAGGAGAGGCCGATGACCAGAACTGGGACCAGGGATTCCAAGGGGAGCCTGGGAGGACCTGAGAGAAAGATAAGTACTATATGGGCTTCGAGATAGGACAGGTGGTTGGAAAAAGCATCTGCCGGGGGCCAAAAGGGTTGCTTGAAAAACAGCAATGTGAGAACGGAAATGGATCAAAAATTCTACCTCCCTGGGGAAGAGGACAAGTATATTGTGACCACCATTGGCCACTCATCGCTACAAGCACTTGAGAGTCACCCAAAAGTCGATCTTCACATTCCTTGACACTTTCACCTTCCGTGGGTTCTGAATGCCTTCAAACTGTTGGTGAGAAGCCATGCAATCCTCATCTGCCTCATGCGTGTGTGTTGCTTCTCCAACTAGATAGTGAAATCTGAGTCTGTGACTCACTCTTAATCTTCCTCCCAGAGGGCCAGATGCGCAAGTGGAGAAAACTCCCCCAGAAGAATTCCAGCGCTACTTAAGCAACAGACCCACCTCAGCCCTTGAGCCGCAGTTCCCTTATCTCGAACTGATTCACAGAAGCAGTGATAACACTTGGTCAAAATGCTGAATGGTCATTCTGGATTTCTGTTTCTGTATTTTTGTGAACCAGGCAAAAAAATCTCCTTAGAGCTGAAGCTCAAGATAGCAAAATCCAGAGGATTTCTGGATGACAAACACTGCCTTTTTCATAAGTTTCCTGTTGTAATTTACCACACACTGCTCTGGTTCTCTCCGAAAACAAAGAGGATACTGCATTGTTAGTTACGCTTCTTTTCTACAGTTCAGCCCCATCCGGCCTTCACAAGGTCATCACGAAGGAGTCGACTGCTCCTGCGCTCCTTACCACCAGGGAAGAAAAGCCAAACAATGCAGAACACCCGGATAAGTCTGCAGGATCCAGTTATAATTTGGTTCTCCTCCTTCCTTGACCACAGTCTCTCAAATTCATTTGTTCTTTTTAGTCACTTACGGCCCAGTGTTCTTTTGAGTACATTTTCTCTCTGGATATAAACTAGGGAGTCGTTGGAGGAGGACAAGGAGGGACAGAAAGGCCAGAATTCCAACTCTAAATGAATGCACACAGACTTTCAAGGGAGTAAGCCCGGGGCTAACCCCAGACACTGGGAGTAAACACCCCTCAGGCCCTTAAAGGAGGGGGTGTAGTCAAGGAGAAATCTGTGCTACCATCTTCCAGAACTCCCAGTGCAGACTTTCTGTCTCCCTCTACTTCCCTAACACCTTCAGGTAGGTAAAATCTAGGCACCATCATAGCAGGACAGGCCTAAGAAACAAGTACTTTAGAAAGAGCAAACTATTGCCTATGGCAGGCAGTGGATGTGGGAAAAGCTGTGGGGCAGAGAGCAGTTTTAAGCAGATATGTCTCAGGTTTGAAAGCTCCACCCGCCTGGCCCTCTTCCACCCCAGATAGCTGAGGAAAAGCAATAAACAGAAGCTCAGAGATGTCACTCTGCACCCTAAAACCCAGTATCCACAGGAGGCCTCAGAATTTGCTCGTTTTCGATTCTCACTCACCATAGCACTCCAGCAGGTCCAGTTCCTCTCTTGGCATGGACAAGGCTGAGATCCACCGCAGCTTTTCACTTCTGAGAAAACAAGGGTTACAGGTTCAGTTACAGCCTGAGATTGTAAGATAAGGGCCAAGGATCTGGGAAGAACTTATCCACTTCAACAACCTCTGTGACGAAGTGTCAGTGGAATCCTGCTTGTTGGGAAATACACAATCTGGAATAATAGGTTGATGTGTCCTGTTGCCTTTTACTTTCCCGTTCTTTTCCCAGACTTTTAATAACTCCTAATATCTTCCAAGCGAGGGGGTAAAGTCCATTATCCTCATGCAGATTTTCCATGATGCGAGCAAAATGTTCATCTATGTCTAGATTGCCTCTGTCATTCTGCACACTTGCTGACGCTCCTTTTCCTACCTTCCTTTAGTCAAATATCTCAAAGACAGAAATTACTCAGGAACAATAATTAGAGAAACAGATCTACCATGACTTTTGTTGTTCTCGCAGATTGCAACCCTAGCATCATTTTGCAATCATTTGAAGGTTTTTCCATTATCTTTGCCTCCGCTTCCAAATGTGGCTGGTCATCAAGAGATGACACTTTCATTGATCTCAGAAGATGGTGCCAAACACCCTCAATGAACAGTATGTGGCTTATTAGATACAAACCCCCTGCACCAGCCTCTCTGTTCTGTAAGTGCAGACAGGTGGGTATTACAGACCCCTGCATGTAGTGTAAGGGAAAAAGTGTCTATGGTATGGGCACTTCAGACTATTAGATATGTTACACTTTTAAAGCAACCCTCTTCTCCTATTTTCCATAAGAGCAATAATAGTAGTGTTTCAGGTGTTTGCTGTTGTAGGCATTGTATACTATGTGTCATAGGTTTCATTATCTCAAAAATGAATTAGTTTATTATTATTATTATTATTATTGAGAAGATGATCAAATCAGATTTCTCAGCGGTACGGATCTCTGCTCAACAGCAGACTGACCAGGGAGGAAGGAGAGCAAAAGGCAGCCAGCATGCATCTTGTTCACCCATGTGCCCACCAGCGGCGGGCGCTGAAGGGTCTCTGGCTTATCCGTGTGGGCGTTCACCCATGGATATCAGTATTCTACTATCTGCTTACTCCATACCAGCCTGTCGATCCCCTTGCTGTGTCTCACAGTACAGCCTTGTGTTTCGGAGGGAAGTCGCTAAGCCCTCCCTCTCCCACCTGCGACCCCCCATTTCCTCCCCAGGCCACCGACTCCCAGCTCCTCCAGGAGCTCTGTCTCACTGAGTGTCCGTGCGGAAGAGGAACTCGGCCTGCGTGCCCTGCGTGTTGTGCCGCAGGAAGAGGCGGAAGAGGTTTTTGTGTGGTCCGTGTAGCTTCATTTCACACTTTTCCCCTCGGATGGAGGAGAAGGGAGCATGATCAAATACCAGGAAGCGGCTTCCCCTGTAAAATACAAGTCTTCTTAAGCTGAACCTACGGTTCCGTATTTCACCCACCCTCATATTCCTGAATTCCAAGTCGTTAGCCTGAGCATTCCCATCTGTAGCCTGCACATCCTCATAAAAACCATAGGATGTCCCCAACTTGCCCCAGGATGGCGGCCCTAGAGTCCACTTGTCACCAGTTTGATAAATCACCTGTGCAGTGCACCAGACACTACCATGGTAATGAGTCGAACAGACAAAACCAATGTAAATTTTCTAGCGCCCTGAGGACCAAGGTGCTAGTTCATTTCTAGTTAAGATCTGAAATTAGCCAGATATTTTTAAACTAGTAGGCTGAGCCCAAGGAAGCCACAGATAGGCTGATTTGGCAGACAGGCACTTATACCACTGAGCTATATCCCCGGCCCTTGAGATAGGCTGATTTGGGAAGGTGACAAGCTAACCTGATACACTGTTACAGTTCTACGTCTGTACCGTAATTCAGCCCTGTCATATACTCTCATGACATAAGCTGGTAGAATCTCTGCTTTTTGTTTGGCCTTTCCGACCCCCTCTTCTCTTTGCTGTGACCTAGATTCCATGACTTGAGCCATGGAGAAGAGGTCTCTCTAAGAACAAGACCGTTCCCTGTCCTTTCTAGTCCATCTCTTCCTGTTCCTCCCCTGCCCCCTCTTGGTCCCTGGCCTCCCAGTCCCATGCCAGCCACTGACTCTCGGGGCCGTGACAGCAGCAGACAGTCGTTGAAGAGATGCAGATGGACCGGCCGTGTGTTCAGTTTCCTTCGCAGCCCCGGAGAGACACTGAACTCGAGGGCTGTCAGCTCCCCACTCTTCACTAACCAGCGAGACTGAGAAATGAGAGGGAATATCTACAGAGCAGGGAGAGAGGAAGCCATGTTACACAGGAGATAAGCAGGAGCTTCCCACCCTCCTCACCCGTCATCTCTTCCTACGTTCCCTCTTGCTCAGAGCCCCCCTGCTTGGATTCTGTTTCCCTCTGAACCCTGTACCTACACTGCGCCCTGGTTTGTAGCTCCCTTGCCTAGGTAATCATCAGGCAAATGCCAGGAGCCTAGGGTCCAACCAGGACAGTGAGCATGTGAGAAAGCTAGATGCCTGACCTGAAGAAGAGCTGGAAGAGTCCAAGAAGAACAAGCAGGAAACAGCAGGATGTGTCTTAGAAGTGAAAAGGTTAGGGGGGAGTTCTGCCATCTGGTGCCTCCTTGATCATAACCAGAAACAGGAGAGGAAGAGTCAGAATCAGCTGGGGTGGGGGGTCAGGGTGGAGTTGGGGTGAAAATAAGAACTAGGTGGGGTTTGCTTGCAGGTAAAATTCGGGCAAGGATGAGGGCACTGGACGTTGACTAGTATTACACATATGGGGCTTTTGCTCTCTTCTAGGAAGGTGAAGATGATGTTTGTTGTGAGTTGGAATCTGAATGTGAAATATCTATTTCTGTTGGGATGAGAGTTTGGAGAGTTGTACCGTGTTGCTCTGGATAGACTAGGAGACGTGATAAATTACATATTACATACATTTATAATAAGCACACAATTCCCCGCCTTCACTCAACAGTATGTCTTAAAGACAGAGGTGAGCATTTAAATTTGCACAGCCCAGAAGCAGAACAGAGGAAAGGGAGGAGGGTTGGAGGCTGGGGACGGCAGGAGTAGCACGGTTCTATGCTGGAGGGTGGTCTGTCGTGTAGGCACACAAAAGAGACCCAGGGCAGAATGAGAGTGTGTAACTCACTCACTTTGCACTCAAACTCAATCTTCTGGCTCAGGTAGATCAGCTCCTCTGTCCGCCGCATCCTCTGGACATTGTTATTGCAGTCTCGGATGAGCTGAGGGGTGGGCAGGGTGAGGGAAAGGAATGTGTTAAGGTATTTGGCCCTTGAAGCCCCTGCGGACAGGGTAGAAGCAGGCTGTGACAGCCTTATCCTTTGCTACCACAGTGAAGGCAGAATCCAGGTTAAGTCCTAGGACTCTGGTATACTTTGGATGAGCTGGCAGAACATTTCTAGGGTGAGGGACTGTGGTAGCGGGAGCACGGCCCCTTAGCATGGAGCATGCTCTGCCTGGAAGAAGAGGCAGCGGCTTGCGCATGCTTGGAGGTTTGAGGTGTACAGGGAACTGGCTGAGCTCTCCTGTGCTCCCAGTTGTGGGCCTGTGAGAGGCAATCAGAGGGTCAGAGTGGGTAGCTGCTTACCTCCTCCAGCACGTGGTGGGCCTTCGTGGCTTCTGCTTCCTCTGAGGAGCCAGGCTGTGTCCTCTTCAGAATGTTCTAGAGAATAAGCAGTGCGCAGGAGACGGGTGGGAGAAAGGAACAGACAAATGGGAAGAGAAGATCAGGACTTAATGAGTGGAGAAACCAATAATCTCAGCAGCAAGTATTTCTGAGAAAGAAGGGTATGGGCAGCGGGGAGACCGTCCACATCTTCCACAGGCAGAAGAATGGACAAGGCTTGGGCTTGAAGCGTCCAAAGATCATCCCTTCAGTTCAGGGAGACATGAAGGAAGTAGCACCCGTACCTGTAGCAGCAGCTTGAGGCGGGTGATGCGCTGGAAGGGCAGAATCAGGAAGGACTTGAGGGAAAGGCGTTGGCAGATGGGGTCACTCTCCAGTTTCTCTAAGACCTCTCGGAAACTGCTGTTGCTGCTCCTACATGGGCATTGACCCGGGGTGAGGAGAGATATACGGCATGACCCGGGGTGAGGAGAGACATAGGGCATGACGGGGACCCAGAGGCATGGGGAATGTCTAGGTTGGGGAAAAATACGCCGAGAGCCAATGTACGGGGAGCCCAGGTGTGTTTGCTGAGGGGCTCTGTTCTGAAGGCCAGGCTGGTCCCTGAGAGCACAGAGCAGGCACAAGAACATGCACCCTGGGACAGCACGGTGAGCCTGCTGCAGGGTCACTGCAGGGCCTACAGGGCGACTGACTGGGGATGAGTCTCACAGCAGGCTCTGGAAGGTGCGCTCCTGATAGGTCTGGTTGGTGACGTAGGGCAGGTAGACCCGGCGGAAGTCTGCAGCATGGTTCAGGACTACGTCACACACTTGGAAGGAGAAGATGTTGTTCTCGAAGTTCTCTTCTAGATCTGAAAGGAACCTGTGTAATATTTAAAAAAAGTCTCATGAGACCGCTGGGTCCCAGCTCAGTGGTTGGCTGTCCCTGCTTTACCTTGAGCTTGCGGCTTCCCTCCATTAGTCAGTAACTTCTCCTGATTCTCCTGAGCTCTGTGCCCTTGCTCTGCACTCAAATTCTCTCCAGGGTTGTCACTAGTTTGCCCCTTATTTAATTTAATATTCTAATATTGTATTTCTTGACTTTCTTTTATCCTACTCCGATTTTCCAATATATATGTGATTTCTACACCTCATCTCCAAAGCAGTGGATGCCCACAGTATATCTAAAACCTCAAGCCAGGAAGCATTTCCTATCAATTTATTTACCTATTAATGTGTCTATCTATCCCCAACTCTTTCTTCTTTGCTTTTTCTACCCTTGTAGCTATAGGGAGTCACAGAAGTAGTAGAGACCCCATTTCTTCTGGAGATTATGCCAAAGGGGAGATTTCTAAGAGGGAAAGAAACCAACTAAAAGTTTAGTGACTGACAATAGTGAGGCTGAGCAAGGGGCATTTGGGAGAAAGGTGGTCTTACGTGGTGCTGACATCTCGCACATCCTGTAGACGAGAGAAGAGCCACTGGTACTCTTGGTTGGAGAGGATGGCCCGGAGCTGGGGTGAAAGTTGGAAATGATCCACAGCTACATGTAGACTGCGCAAGTATGAAGCCTCGGACACGATCAGCTCAAATTTGGCCTAGAGAGTTGGAGAGGAGGAAAATTACAGACTCCCTGCTATCTACCAACCACTGAGTAATGTTTAAGGGCAGAGGACCAAACAAGAAAGATCCTTTTATAGCTCGCCATCACAATAAATCCTATCTTCATCTGGGAGGAGAAGAGTATTTATGTACACAAGATTTAATCTAGGGGTTGAAGAACATCTGTAAGCTCCCAAAGATGTAAAAGAAAAATGTACTTTCAAAAAACTTAAGTTGGGCTGAAGATATAGCTCAGGAAAAGTGCCTGCCTGGCAAGCACAAGGTCCTGAGTTCAATTTCCAGCACCAAAAGAAAAAAAAAGAAACTGAAATCACACACATACACATACCACACAAATAGAAAACTATATGAGATGATGGATGTATTAATTTGCTTCATCATAGTAACCTTTCTACTATCTATGTACATTCTGTAGTACCACTGTGTGTACCTTAAATATACACAGAAAAATTTATTTTATTTATTTATTTATTTTGGTTTTTTGGTTTTTTTTTTTTGTGTGTGTGTGTGTTTTTGAGACAGAGTCTCACTCTGCTGTTCAGGCTGGCCTTGAGCTCACTTTGTAGCCTAGACTGGTCTTGAACTCGCAACGATCCTCCTGCCTCAGCCTCCTGAGTGCTGGGATTACAGGCTTACAGGCATGCACCACCACGCCTGGCCAGAAAATTTTCTTTTAAAAACAGAAACCCTAAGGGTTGGGGACATAGCTCATTGGTAGAAAACTTGCCTAGCATGTATTATACAGTGTATCTCCACCAACACAAAAACAGACAAACGAACAAAATAACCATTAAAACAAGAACAAAGAGGCCTAAATAAGTTCAGCATTTTTGGAACCAGTTATACAGAAGTAGTATCAAGAGTTGAGGCTGGAAAAGCAAATGGAAATAAGGAACAGGGCCTGGAGGACGATGTAAACAATGTATGTAAAACAGTATGGTCTCAAGACCATGGCAGAATGTGTGAAAATATTTCTGTAAGGGCATAACATGACTCGATTTTTCATAAAGATATTTCTGAGCACAACAGGGCACAGATTATGTGGCGAGAGAAACATGTTAGGAAACGGTGTGATAATTTCAGATGAGATTCGAAGGTCTGAACAGTTATGTGGATGAAGAAATTATGGTTAAGAGGTAGATTTGAAAGGGGTTGGCTATTTGCTCAAAATGGGGCCTAACGGAGGATGAAGAGTCAAAGCTAATGCCTGGACATTTGATTTGAGTAAATGTATGAAAGCTGGAGTCATTAACCGAACCAGAGTGCTGTGAAAGAGGGACAGATTTAAAGGACGAAGTTAATGAGTTCAGTTTGGGGTTTGAGAAGAAATGGAACGAAGTATGTTATTTGAGTCAAGACGGTGCAGTTGTGGTGTAAGGAAAAGACATAGCCCTTGAAAATTTATTTGGAGGTTCCAGCAGGGGGCGCAATAGCTTATAGCCATAACTAGAGGCTCTTCATGCTTTTCATCCAAGCATGTGGTTTCAAGATACATCCTTGGATAGAAAACACAGAGACTGTCCTGATCACTTGTATGGTCAATGACATGGCCTGATGACCTTCCTATACCCAACCCGGAATGGGACACCCCAGTTTCTTTCCATCCTGCCACTGTTCACTGACCAGAAGTGAGAGTTTATGAAATGAAAATGTGCATATAAAATGCGAGGGTGCAGAGGATTCTCCCTTCATCAGTGTGAGACTAGGGCTGGAACAGGACCTCCTAGTATGCTGGAATCGGACAGACAGAGAGATAGAGAGAGAGAGCTACAGTTCACATGACTTCCCCATTGGCTGAACCACAAATATGGGAGAGATTAGTGATTTTTCTAAACATCTTCCAGGTGCCCTAGAAGTTGCACTCAGAACAAAGCCATCAATTCTGAGCCTCAAAGAGCCTAAAATGCACATGTGTCTCTGAATTGGTAAAGCATTATTTATCCCCAGGTCCTTACTCCTCCCTGATTCTCAAAGGGGAAGAATATGATGCTACTATTTACCAAATGCATCAGACACTTTGTTAAGCTAAACATGTGTGACTTCATTAAAACTACACACTAACCCTGAAAGGGAGACATTTTCACATTGAACTTGCAGGCAAGGAAACTGAAATTTAGCGAGGTTATATAACATGCCTAAGGTTATATAGCTAGTAAATGGTGAGGCTGTGATTCAAAATCAGGTCTACATCACTTAAGGTTAAAATAGTTAATATTTCTTGAGTGATTACTATGTAGCAGGCACTTTTAAAAAATTCTCTCAGTAAGTCTTTGTATCTCAGTTTGACAAATAAGGAGACACCAGCTTTGAAAGATCAAGCAATTTGGCTAAAGCTAATGAGCAAATATTAAAATAGGCTTCTCATCTAGGTCATTTAATTATTATTCTAGTATACTGGCCATTACTGTCTTCCTGTGAAGGAAGGTTCCACCCCAAATTTCAGACGGATTTGACAGTAACAGAAGATCTCCATGGAAATCTTATTAATGGTAATACCTTAAAACCAGACAAACAGCCTCTACTACCATCTTACTCTTGGGGGTGGTGATGGAGCAGGGACACTCTAAATCCTCTGAAAGATGAATGTATCACAGGGAAGCTTCCAGGTGCTATTTCTGAGGGACGACTCAACAAAAAGCCCCTGCACACATCTTGGTTAAAGAGCGAAACTTCAGCAAAATCTGACACTCTAGTGGAAGGCGGAGATTTTAGTCTACCCCAAAGCAGCACAGATGAACATCATTTCACCCTCTCCCCAGCACATTTAGTGCCCAACTTGGGCTCTGCATGAACCCAAACCAGAACCAGGTAGGAAAAGACAGTTCAGGGCATAAGGAAACAGGGAAGAGGGACAGTGGTGATGTTTAGAATATCACAAGGCACAGACTTCAAAATGGGAAGGCGCACTGAGGACGTACATACGCTAAGGTGACGAGTGTCAGGTAGGCATGGCCTGCCCTCACTGGTGAGGACAGAGAAAGGCAGCCAATATGCCTTTGCAATCTTTGCCTTGTACCCTACCCTACTTCATACCTCTTGTAGCTTCTGGTCTTCGTGGGTCATGGAAAGCAGCACGGTACTATTTCGCACCACGGGGATTTCCTGCCAGAGGGAGCCACTGGAGGCCATAGACAGGCGCTGCAGGTAGGACTCGGAGGACACCAGGGCCTTCCGTGGCTGCCTGGGGGAGGCCAGGCCAGGGGCCTCTGCCACACTGTCCAGACGCTGCTGACTCTGAATCTCCTTGTTCAGAACAACATCACTGTACTCCTGATAAAGCAGCTGGGCTACAGGGGCAAGAATGTGTGGGAGAGGGAGAGAATTGGGGGGAAAGGGAAGGTGAGTGGAGACGCAGAGACAGGCAGAAGCTGCCCACTGCTGCTGACCTCCTGAAAGTCCTCTCTCCATTGGAGAGGACTCTCTCTCCCCTCTGCTGGAGGCCATAAGGGCAGAACACACTCCCAGCCCTACGGATCTGCTCCAAGGTACTCACAGGAGTTGATGAGCTTGGAGCAGCGTCGTGAAAAGCTTCCCATCCCCTCCTTTGGCTTCTTCTCCCTGTGGAGGAAGGAAGGCTCTAGGGTCTTGCTGGCCATGACACAGCCACCCCCAGGTGGCTGTAGGTGAGGAGGCCTCTAACCTCCTCTGTTGCGCTGGGACGACAGGACCAAATTCCTTAGAGAGTGACAGAGCTGCAGTCTGACCCACAGTGGCATAGTTCGGAGCTTTGAGGGATTTATATAGAACTTTTACGGGGGGATGAGTTCATGGCCAAAGAGCTTGGAAGGACAGCTGACTCACTCAGCCAACGGAATTGGGAGGTATAGGAAAATCTTCCTACCCCGGAATCCTGCTGTGGATGTCTCCTCCTTACTCTCAGAAGAGAAAGGCAAGAGCCATTCCAGGTTCCAACACCCTTATAACTAAAATGCTGATCAGGAGACCTTAGTGTCCAAAGCAAAGAGTATAGGTGTGTCCCTTTGGAGGAGGTTAACTCACCGAAGAACCACCATGTCTGAGGGGCTGCAGAATCTTCCCATGGTCTGACCTCTTGAATCTGAAAATGGGAATGACACAGCTGAGACTCCTGAGGCACATTTAGAGAAAGTGAAGGAAAGCCATTGGATGGAAGAAGCAGGTATCTACAGGACAGTAAAACGCTCTCCTGAGAATCTAGGAAAGAAAATACCAAGCAGCAAGCATTCCAGTGGAAATAAGTACATGCTATGTCCCTAGCTGTCTTTGCAGAATGGGAATCAGGCGAGTAGCAAAAGGCTTCTTGAATTCAGGGAGGACAGCAAGCCAGTGTGGGAACAGAAAAGTAAGAAGGAGCCAAGACAACACTAGGTCAAACATGTCATCCGAAGAAGGCCCTGGTTGACTGGGACGTGGAGAGGTAGAGGAAGAAGAGGAGGGACGAGCATCCCTGTGAGCTTGGCCGGTGCTCCTGGGCTGCTGCGTTGAGAGCAGGCGTGTCCGTGAGTGAAGCTACAGAGGGAACAGTTAGCACGCTGGGTACAGGTGGGACGAGGTGAGAAGAGCTGGAAAAGGTTTGCCGACATGGGTGTCACTGTGGTCCTCACCCTTGCTTACCGGAAGAACCCTCAGGTAAAATGGAAGGTCTGCGCAGGCCCTGCCGATTCCAGCTCTTGTGCTTGCTGGGCCCTTCACCAGGGAGCACAGCATGCTCACTGCTGACCTCCAGGGGTCTCCCTGTGTCCCGTCTGTGGGGCCAGCTGGATGCCTTTTCCAGCTGGGGATGGCTGGGCTTTTCTAGCTGCCTCACTGGGCCCACAGCGGACCTCCTTGGGCCACTGCCTCCTTGCTGAGGCGGTGATCTTCTCAATGGTCCTCTTGCGGGGGCCTCAGACTCTTCTGAGAGCCTTGCTTCAGTCTTAGTGTTGGGGCCCTGGAATTCCGGAGTCCAGGGGACGGTAGGGGAAGAGGGACACAGAAGGTTTGTCATGTTGCTGAAAGCCATACCAGGGGACACTTCACTCTTACTCCTGCTGGTGGAAGCCAAAGACTCTGTGGGTCGGCCCGTGGCTGGGGGCCAGGAGGTACGTCCAGCAGAGGGAGGAGTGGAGACTGTCCAGTCTTGGCCAGCAGGTCTAGGTTTGGCTTGGCCCCCTGAATTCACAAGTCCTCCCTGAGCGCTCCTGCTCCTGGCCTTCGGTGGTAAGGGGGGCGGGTCAGTGGCAGGATTTGTGATGGGGACGGGGGGTAGAGGCCTATATGTCCTTGAGATACTGGAAGAGGAAAGGGGGGCGGGGTGGGCTTGGGACAAATCAGGAGTTGGGGGCAATGGTTTGTTGTATCTGAGCCTGGAGGAGAAGGAGGTATGAGTGAGATGGGAGCTCTCTGGAGGAGAGGGCAGAGGTCGGTGCTGTCTTGCCACAGGGGGGTCAGGAACTTGGGGAAGGGGGCCTTTAGGGGGACCGTGTAGCTGTTCACTTAGGGGCAAAGGAGGAGGATGGCTCCGCTGCTTCAGTGTGGGGACCACCGCAGGAGGATGACCGTCTCTCTCCACCAAGGAAGGGCGGGTGTGCCTCTTCTCTGGGGGAGGAGGGGGCGGAGGCTCACAGATCCTCATGTCCATGGGGACAGTGGATGGCGAAGAGCCATAGGTAGGAGTTCCTGTAGCAAAGGCCGAATCCTGGGGGGAGTCCCATGGCTGCCTGCCTTGGGGACCCCTGGTCCTCTCTGGATTCGAAGCGAATTCCTGAGAGCCCTGCCTCAGAGCAGACAATGCAGAAGGAGACTGTGAAATGATGCTGCAGTCCCTACCGCTTCTCCTGTCCCTTCTTGGCATCACAGAACCGTAGATGGCAGGTTTAGGGGGCCTCTGGGGTAACTCCGAGTGAGAGAAGGAAAGCGACATTCCCACCAGGTCTGCCGGCTGCTCTGTCCTGTGAGAACCTGGAAAGGAGTTGCTCCTAAGGTGCTGGGTGGCCCCCGTGCAGTTGGCCAGGACACTGTGAGGGCTGATCCCATTGGAGCTGGCACGTGGGTCCTTGTTGACCTCTGCAGGGGGCCAGCTGTGCACAGAGGCCGGGGGAGTGTCAAGTGCTCCACAGGCAGGTAGGACATCAGTTGAGCGAGCTCTCGGACTCTGCCTCCTTGGAAAGACAACCGGAGGGCTGGCCGGAGGTGTGGCAGTTGTGACAGGGGAGTCGTCAGCAGGACTCAAAGGAGCTGAAGCTCGTATTCTTGGAGGTGCTGCAGATGTATCAGCGGAGACCACTTCAGCTCCTTGACTGGACCCTGTCTCCGCCCTCAGCTCAGGTCCTCCTGGCTGGCTACTATGAATTGTGTTGCTGTTCAGAGCCTCCCCACTGGGAAAGCAGTGAGGAGGAGAAATGGGCTGGGAGAAACGTCCTGTTGGCTCTGGTGCAGGAGTTGGAGCTCTGGGGAAAGGTTCTCCAGCTCCGGATTCTGTGTGAGTCCCAGGAATCTGAGCCATGGGACAGGAGACTTCCGGAAGCATATCACAGGAAGATGGGACCTCGGGGGCTACTGCAGCCAGCATAGAAGGAACCTGATACTCTTTGTCCTCTTCTGCCGTCCGTTCTTTCTGCACTACCCCCAGCCCATGCCTATCCCAATTCCCAGGCTCCTCCTCACCTGACCCTGCCTCTTCCTCCTGTGTCTCCATTGGCCTCATTTCCCCCCTTACACCTTGATCTACCTGCTTTCTGGTTAATTCTTCTGACTTCTCGACTAAACCTTGATTTTCTGCACACTGAGAGGTCACCCAACATTCCCCTGGCCCCCTGCACACCCCGTCCTCCTGCTTCTCTGCTTCCGGACCTCCCTGACCTGGCGTTTTCCTCTCCCTGTTCTCTGGAACACATTCATCATAATTCAGACCCTCTAACTCCCCACTGAGCCTCGCTCCCTCTCCCTGTGCTCCAAGTACCACGTCATCTTCTACCTGTTCCTGTTTTGGCCCCTGTTCTCCCTCTTTGTCGTTAGGTGGCTCTACCGTCTGTTCTCGCTCCCGCCAAAGCCCATCAGAGCACACAGCCTCTCCTACACCTCCTTCCCCCTCAAATTCCCCTTCCTGTTGTTCCTGCTTCCCTGGCCCTGGGGCTTCCTGAGGATGCAGAAGCCCTTCTTGCTCTTGACTTTCCAGTGCCTCTTCCATCTGCAGCTCTTCCCCCTGGCTGACAGTTCCAGTTGCAGAGCCCTTGGTCTGGTTAGTTTCGATAGAGTGTACTTTGCAGGGAGGCCAACATCCAGCCTGAACAGAGGCAGCTGGGGAGGCTTCCTCCCTTCCATGTGCTCGTTTAGCTCCCAATATCAAGGAGGGGAGTTCTGGCAGAAATTCCACCTCTACTCTACTGCCCAGTTCAGTGGATATGGGGACCGTGTCCAGCCACTCGCCCCGGACAGGGAAGACCCCGTGCTTTGGAGGAGTTAGTGTCCTTGCTCTGCTGTCTGCCAGTGTCAGGCGTTCTGACTCCTGGTATTCTGGAGTGCCACAGGCCTCAGCCAGAAGGTCTTCCTGGCTGGGCTCCACATCCACAGACCCTCCTTTGGGGAAAAAGGGCACACTCTCAGCTGCATGGTCACTCATGTCCCTTAATTCTTTCGGCTGGGTCTCCAAGAGTTTGTGTCCCTCTGTCCACTTAAAGGATGGGCCCTGGTCTTGAACTTCAGGCTCCAAGGCAGGAATCTGGCTGCTCCTCATGATAGCCTCTGGAATAGCTCCAAATTCTTTTACGCCAGGGGTGGAAGTAGACAGTTCATACTCAGGCTCCTCGGCCTCCATCAGGACTGAGTCCTAAGAAGGAAGATAGACAAAAGTTTCTAATGCCTTTCTGCTTTTACCTACCAGAGGGAGAACCACAAAGAAGATGAGCAAGATATTTCTTTGGTTCAATTTAGGGTCATTTTTTGAGGTAAAAGGGACTCAACATAATATCCAATAGCCTCTATACATTTCTCATGTATTTGTTCATTTTTAAGAAAGATTTACCCAAGGGCCCTTTTAAGTGTGGGACATTCAGTAGCTCCTGAAACAACAACCCTGTCTCATTGAGCTTGTGGTCTTACAGGGGAAACAGACCACAAACAATTCAACTACAGTATAAGACCATCGTCAAAGAGTACCAAGAGCTCCCAATGGTCATTAACCTCTAGGTTGCATTATGTTATTGTCTGTTTCTCTCTGTCGACTCTCCGAACATTCAGAGTGACTCAGCCTCATATAATTCCCAGACAGTGTGTGACACACCCTAGATCTAACAGCTCAGAGGAACAGTGTCAGGAATGGGATCTTCCTCCTCAGCTGCCGCCTGGGATGAAAATAAGTCAGGCTACTGTAACCAATGTACAAGATCTAGAGTTTTAGCTTCCTTACACAGGGTCTGGATTTTACTCATCTTCCTATTTTTATAGTGCCTGGCAGAGCCTTATAACTAATAAACGATGTTGTTTTCAATGACAGAGGTAGTCACTGTAAAATGGAAGGATGACCAGGCTTAACAGATTTAACATGGCCGATAAAGTTGTCTTCCCCTCAGTATGTTACTTTACACCCTCGTCTCTCATGCTGGGAAAACTTGTCTCATTACTTCCCCAGATTGTGACCTTCTTGCCTTTATTCTCTCATCCAAGAGAAAAGAACTGCTTCAATTTATCATAATCCAAACCCACCACCCAATTTCCATTTCCACTCTTTCCATTTTCCTTCCTCTTCCGGTTTCACCTTCTTTTGTCACCGGTCTCCTCCATGGACTTCCTGCCATGGATTATGTCTGTCACATATTTAATTTCTCAACTGGAATCTCTCCGTCAGTAGTTAAGGGTTCCCATGTAGCCCAGGCTATCTATCTCAGAGACTCTATCTCAAGATGGTGTTTCCCACATCAAGGGTTTCCTACAGCAGGATTTGTGCCTACTGTGGTCTTTACATAGTACCTGCCTCCACCCTGCTTAAACCAGCACCACCTCCGGACATCTTCTACAATCCTCAGTCTTTAACACTACTGACATTATGCTTTACTGATTTACCCTTGAGATTTCCGGTGTCCTCACTGGGTTACACTGTACTTCTCTTTGAAGAGATTATCATCTGCAATCCACTTCAGCTTTCTTCTGTATCATTTAGACAATGATGACTATATAATTCTGTACATATTTGGAATTACCCTCTACTTCAACCAGAAGATGGTAAGCCATATGAGATTAAGAACGACATCTGTTTTGTTCAGTTTTCTATACCTTGGCCCATACTAAATGCTCAATAAATATTTTTTACATCAGCCAGGTGTGGAGGTGCATGCCTATAATCCTAGCATACTGAAGGCTGAGGCAGGAGGACATCTGTGTTGAGCCCAGGCTACATGGGCAACTTAGTGACTTAAGGAGACCCTATCTCAAAAATAAATAACATGAATTTCACTTAAAGAGTAAAACCTTTTGTTTCCCTTCTAGCCCAGATTTGCCATACTTAATCACCAAATCCTATTGACCCATGTGCTAAATATCCTTCAGGACTGTCCACTATTTGTCCCCTTCATAGCTGGAATCTAGCGCATGCTGTGTTCTCACTCAGACCAGCATGAGCTAGATTCCAGCTATGAAGGGGACAAATAGTGGACAGTCCTGAAGGATATCGCACACGGATTACGGCCTGGCCCCCGGCCTCAACATGTCTTACTGGATTCCAGATCACTCTTTACAAAGATCTTGGTGATCTTCAAAACACCACTTGTAGATTAAACTCTTCAGTAGCCGCTGACTGCCCTTGAGGTGAAATGCATATACTCAGCATGGCTTGATTATCTACTCTGCACAGCTGGCCTCTGCCTCCCTTTCCGGCAGCCCTGGTCTCCACCTGTTGGCACCCGCCTGCCCCAGCTCAGCCCCTCTCATTAGAAGCCTTCGCTGATGCTGTCCCTCCACCTGGAATCCTCTTCTGTTCCAGGGGATACTTTATTTCTCAAATGCAGATTGTGTTTCCTAGTATAGGGTTAATACCTATTTCCCAAGCCAGATCGCAAGCTTGATGAGGGCACAGTCACCGCCATATTGACCATGCAATCCCCACTGCCGGAAGCTGACTTGGCCCTCAGCAAGGATATCTGCCTGAATGAAAACTGTACAGCTAAAACAGTGTGGCCCGAGTTTCAGTTCTACCTTGTTTGAATCTTTGCTAGTTTTAAGACAACTACAGAGAACATTAAACCTGTCTGAATATCACTTTTCTTATCCTTAAAAGAGAGATAAAGCATGACCTTCGCAGTTCTAATGAGATGAAATAAAGTAACAAAAAGTTTGCTGCTATCTTTGAGGGTCACAGAAATGGTAGGTATTGCTGACCTGAGAGAGAAGTGTAAGAAACACAGGACTTATAAACACAACAGAAAACTTTGCTCCATTTGCAGAATCTAAAGGTCAAAGACCCTAGACATTTGCTCAGATTTTCTAAGCAAATGGTATAGGTGAAGGTCTCTTGACCTAAGATCAAGGTCTCTAAACCTAAGCCTATTGTAAGCTCCCAGGCACCCTGCTGTTAGAAACCTGGCAGATCACAGTCAAGGGAAGACCCTGGGCCCTCAGACCTCATGTTGCACCCGACCCTACATTTTTCTGGTGTGGTCCAGGTTTAAAGTGAAAGGAGTAGAAGCTCACCTAGCAGGATGCTTGTTGGCCTGCTGAACCACTCCATGTGCACACCCTCACACACGTACATATGTGCGCAAACACACACACACACACACACACACACACACACAGTGAGCCACCCTTGCAATGTCTATGCAATAGAGTCTGACATAACCAAACAGGCAGGTCTGCAACTACTCTACAGATGGAGTGTGTGACAAGTTCCTGGCCACCCATAGGCAAAGATACCATCTATCCGGGGCAAAGAGACAGGTCTAACTTAAGTGTGCCAATGTCGATGGACTCTTACGTCCCTTTCCAGTTAATTGACGGTGTATGACTTTCTTCCTATATCTACCCCTTAAGTACAAAATATGGCAAGTGATACTGTGATGGGACATTATTTTATCACCACATGTTAAATAATATACTTGCTCACCGTAGACACTTTCTGAAACTTGCCTCATACCTGCCTAGGGAGCCCATGTGACTAACTCTGTCATCTTCCTCACCCGCTTCTATACTGTCCAGGCTGCACCCTACACCCCACATTCACCACCACTATTAAAAGCAAGTCGTGCCTGAGTTTATAAATGTGTTTCTTTGATATCTAGGCCTTACCTATATGTACCATATGCTTCCAGGATATTTTAGTTCCAGTCTCGTCATAGAGTGCCTGTCTGTCTCCTGCAAGCCCTTTAACATCATTTGTACCCCCTTTAACATCATTTGTACCAGTGCCTTCATCCAGTTGGAAATATCTGTGGTCAGTAATCTTTCTCTCCCAAAGGGAGAACATACCCCAAAGTCCCAGTCCTTGATCTTGTCTTATCAGGCATGACACAGCTAGAATGTGACAAAGCTAAAGGAAGTTTGAAGAATATGGTCTTACATAAAAACATCAGAAGGGAGTACCTGGCCCGTACAACCCCCTGCAAAGCCAAGTCCACTGGAATGCAAACAGCCTCATCTCCTTCACCACTGCTGTGTGTGGGGAGGTGAATAACCATTATTTATATGCCTGAGCACAGGCAAAGCCAGTACACGATGGCATCACGGTGATCTGGCCTACATCCAGACCAGAGGAAGGCCAGGTCCATGCCCCCATTCATGTGTGACTTCTTAGGAGACAAAGCTCTCCAGCTCACAGCAATGTGGACAGAGCTTGCTCTTTCCCTTACAGGCCCCAGCACCTTGGCTCCTGATCATTTCTGTTCATTTAAGTAAAACTGTATTTCAAAGATACCCGCATCCCTTGTCATGCTATCTTTTGAAGTGATGTCAAATGCTATCTATCTATTGAGGACCATGCTTCTTGGATTTTCTAACAATGTCAATTTCAAATATTCTGACTCAGAAACACAAATCACTGAAATACTCCTGAGATTACAATACTTCTCCATTTACATGGTGTCGACACCATCTTCTATGGTTCTGTCTACTTTAGCAAAAGACCCTCTTACCCTAATCAAAAAGATACATTCTTATTTTGACTTAGAAAATAAGACCACCATATAGACCATTATTAGAAAATAAAGCCACCGATACAACTTTACTGACTTTTTGACATTAATTCCCCTAACACTACAAATACATCAAAAGGCAGCTTCCTGAACCATTAGCTGCTAAGATCTGCATTCTATTATAGGAAAGCTCTATCAGCCCAGTAAATGCTGTATAGTAGTAAACATTTTTAATCTATATTCCATGTCTGAAAATATCACACCATCCACTGCCTTATAGACCAGACGGCCTCATCTAACACCAGTATGAGTGGCAATGCTGACTTCTGACACAAGTCACCTGACGGCCCTAATGCCATCCATACAGATATGTCTGTGACATTTTTCAGTCCTTAACATAGGTGATCTTGCTCAGGCTCACCAGGCCAGCACTGGAAGTGACCAGCTCCTTTTCACTGTACACAGTGTGAGGGCCCCAGACGCTGTAGCTCACCAATCCTGAAGTCATGCAGGTCCCATTCAACTCATGATCCCACAAACAACCCGAACTCGTCCACACCACACAGAGACTGACCATTCCAGACACCAGGAATGACGTCTTCGGGTCTATCCCACAGACACGGTAAGTAATGTGGCCACAGCCAGCCTCAGACAGACCACGTGATAGAAGCTGGACACCCTAGAGAACCCTGATACGTGGAAGGGTTCCTATGACCGGAATCACTGTATTTTTTAGGAAAGAAGGACTCCTTCAGCTCCTCCTGACATCTCTCTCCTTCTGACTAGGGCCTTGACATTCATTCCTCCTGATCCACTCTCTCAAGTGGGACTGACCTTCCACACCTCCCTCCTAGGGCCAAAGGAGCCACTTTGGCTTCAGCTCCACAGCCTGGTTAGAGACGATGCCCGTGTACCAGGGCCTGGGCTGGGAGCCTCTTCATGCTCCAGGAAGCCTGAGCCCAGCCGAGGCCCCACAGGGGCTTGCACAGCTGGACTCTGGGGTTTCAGGGGTGGGCCAAGGATGCAGGACTTGGGGCACAGCTGGAGAGCAGAGGAGTAGTGGAGTTGAAAGCAAACCCAGCCCACTATCCCTGTCTGTCTGGCGCGTCCTGCCCGCTCCAGAATGACAGTGGGGTCAGAGTTCACTTCCAGGTAGACAGGAGGACAGATCTGTTCTGGGAATCCGAGTTCCAGGAAGGGGAGAAGAGGACCGGGAAGGGAACACAAGTGGAGTCCGGCCCAGCTCTTCCAGGCCCGTCCTGGGGGAAGGCACTTACTTACAGACGATGCTCAGAACCAGGGCTCCAACCGGGGTCCCAGCACCGCGCTCGGCCCCCTGCGCTAACAGCGCTCTTCCCACCGCCCTCCGCGCAGAGCTCTGGGAAGCGCCCATATATGGGCAAATAGGGCGGGGGGCAGGGCAGGCAGGGTCACAGGTTAAAGAGCGCTGGCTATCAGGGAAGGGAGGTGGGTACAGCGAGACACATATGCAAATGCCACGGAGATAATGCGGAAAGGCCCAGGCCTGGCTCGGAAAAGGAGAGCCTAACACATCTCCAGGTAAGGGATGGTGTGCCGAGGGAAGCCCAGCTGCGCCTCAGGATGGGGGTTAGCTCTCCCCGGGGCCCGGAGTTTGGAGACAGAGTCCTGATTATTGGCCCCGGGAACCTCGCGGGGGCCGGGTGCCCATTTCCAAGGCGGGGACCTGGCTGGAAGCGACCTTTTCAGACAAAAGCAGGCCGGGGTCCTCAGCCTTCTCCCAGAGCTCTGCCCATCGGCCCAGCCCCCCATTTCCGGAGCCTGCGCCCCGGGACCTGGCCAGGGCTGGTCCCCGGGGAGGCCTAGTTTCCTCTCCCTCCCGCCCCAGCCTTACCTCGGCCGGGCTCTGCGGCCGCCCGAGCCCAGGGCGCAGAGGGGAGGCGGGCACCCACCTGGCCGGTGTCACATGCTGCCCGGCCGAGTCCCCTCCAGGTCCCGCGGGCGCCGGCCCCGTCCCCAGCCAGGCCCGGCC